ATACTAATTCAGTTAAGAGTACAAGGTGGTTTTTAGAAGTAGTTTTAATTGATGCTACTTATAAGACAAATGTTTACAAGTTGCTATTTATAAATTTTGTTGGTATTAGGAAACTTGGTGTTAATAAATTGCAAACTTTTAGTATTGCTAGTGTTTAGATTTTAGACGAAATAAAGAAATCATATATTTGGATAATCAAACAATTTGCTTTTCTTGTATTTTTTGATATTCTTCTTTTTATTTTTGTTATTAATAATGATGCTGTGCTCATTGGTGCTCTTAGAAGAATTTTTCCTGAAGTTGAGAATATTTTGTACACTTGGTATGTTTTAAATAATTTTAAAAAAATTTAAGAAAATATTTTGTTGATAATGAAATCATTAAGGTTGCAGAAAGTCTTATCAATTTAAGAGACTATATTAAATTAAATTTGACAATTGCTAACTATCAGAAGCTGCTATATCTAGTTCAAATACGAATAAAGTTATAAAATACCTTGACAGGTATGTCTTATATAATTATTTTAATTAAAATTAAAAAATAATTTTAATTAAATATAAAAATTGATTTTTAATTTAATATATCTTAATCAATAATTTTTTAAAGAATAATAAAAATAAAAGAAAATAGGTTAGTGTTTATACAACTAAGATAATATATTTTTGGGATCGTCTAAAGCCAGGTAGTCATGTGACCTCAAGCCACAATATGGTAGCTTGTATTAGCGACAGCTACAAGGCTTGTATTAACTCTAAGTAGCTGGTGTTGTACTATTAAAACCAGGTAGCTAAAGCTAGGTAGCTAAAGCCAGGTAGCTAGACCAGGTAGCTAAAGCCAAATAGCTAAAGCTAAGTAGCTAAAGCCAAGTAGCTAAAGCCAGATAGCTAAAACTAAGTAGTCATGTGATTCTAAGCCCTGATGAGGACTTATAGCTCTGAAAGGTATAAACTTCCCAGGATTTGTAAAGTGTAAATAGCTTATATTTTTCTACTAGCCACTACCAGCCACTACTTGCAGAGATATGCTAAAGCCAGATAGTCATGTAATATATGTTGCCATGTTGTCACTATACAATTTGTCACAATATTATACAACCAATTATTCACTATTTGCAGAAATCTAGAGTATGCTAAAACCAGGTAGTTATATAATTTTATTGCTACATTATTTCTTGCAATTTGCTACACTATTGTGTGATCAATTATCTACTACTGGCTATAGATACTTGATAAAATTATTTTTGAATTGATGAATAGTTTTGCTATTTTGCGATTGTACAAAAAATTTCATATAAATATCAAGAAATTTTTCTATAAACTTAAACAGGATACTTTTTAGAATAATATTTTAATTTAAAATTAATTTTATCACTAATAATTATAGATCAAAATAATTTTGTCAAGAGTTTTGTCATTTTGTCAGGTTTAA